GGGGCCTGGGTTTGATCCCTTGTCATCGTACCGTTGACACTTTCTATTTCAGTCTCTGCCTTTCCCCTGCGCAAACACTTCGAGAGTAGTGACCAAAACAAAGACGGGGGCTCCTGCCGAGGAACCTGACAGGCAGCGGGCTGACACTGTCTCCACCCCCCTCCACTGCTGGTCTCCCAGCCCGCGGACCCCGGCCCTCGAAGCTGTGCTCCAGCGCTGGGGTGCCGGACCCTGGGGCAACCAGAGGCTGCCCTGGCCCTCGGATCTCTGCTAACAGATGCGAGTTCACGAGAGAGACAGAGACACAGAGAGAGAGAGAGATCTTGCAGAAGTTTACTAAGTGGACGATATTTTGGGGAAGACTCCAGGATTTACGCCGCCTGCGATATTCTGGCACTCTATGGAGAAGCACGCTCCCAGGTGGTTTCGTAATTGATCTCGTGTTATTCCGGGAGGGCAGGGTTTTCCTTCTCCAGTTAGATCTGAAATTCTTTGAATTTGTGTACTCAGCACACAGTAAGCACTCAGATGCTCTCAGTTGGACCATTTGAGGTTTAGATGAAACTGTCTGTATAAATTCACACCCATAGATAGGCTTGAAGGGAAGGGACAGGCGTCCAGCTCAGATTGGGGCTCACAACTGCAGGCACTGGGTAGCACTGTAGTAACCTTTTCACAGCCACTTGTCTTCCTTTGTGTCACCATGCCAGTTTATAAATGTTGACCTTTAACCCTTCTCTACATTAGAGGCCACCACTTGGCCAGTTGACAAATCTGGCCTACAGATGTATTTGGTTTGGCATATACCATGCTTGAACATTTTTTTAAATCTTTCCCCCCCCCCTTTTTTTTTAGATTTCTGCCATAGGGCCCCCTGTGGTCAACAGAGAGAGACAGAGAAAAGGAAAGTGAGAAATCCTCCCCCTGAGGGAGCGGGCATGCTGCAATCCTTTCTCTTCCATTTTCCTCTTGGGATTTTGGGCATGCATGCACACAGCTGGTGTGATTTCCAAGTTGCCAGGTCTGGGACTCCAACCATAGTCAACACCTTAACCACCACATCACCTGCTGGCTTCACCAAGCTTGAACATTTTTAAAAAAATATATAAGTGGCCAACATTAAAGAGTTAAGGTTTTGCACGTAAGTAATCTGGATTTCTGCCTTCCACAGAAATGGAAGATCTGGTTACCTCACAAGTGCATTTCCATATGTCAGGGTCTGCCGATGCCGAGGTGTGACAGCCACTTGGAAGCACCCTCGTTAGAGAGGTGAGCCTTGCAGTTTTGCAGCCACCATGGTCTCTCTTCCCCCACTCTGCACCTGTTTGGCTTCCGGGGCTACCCAAGTTTATGCCCCAAGTTCCCTGCCTCCCAGGGTCCCTTCCTTCCATTTCCCGTTGTCTCGATGACACCAGCATTGCCCCAGCTGTCTTGGCTAGACATCTTCAAGGAACCACTGACTCATTTCTCTCCTCCCCCCTCCACCTCAAACCAGTTCTGCCCAGACTGATGAGTCTTCAAAAGGCCTCTCAGCTGGGTTTCTTCCTTTCTAGCCCACGCAGTGAGGGGAATCCACTCCTCAAAGAGGGGAATAACTTGTGGGATTTGTTGAGTCCAATTTCTACCCACTTCATCCAGCCTCTGTCCTAAAGGCCTGACACGTCTTCCTGAGGTCTTGCCTCGTTCTACGCCTTCCTTGCTCAAAACCCTTCAGTGATGCCATTTGCTATCACCAGGGCAGCAAATTCTAAGCATTTCGTAAGCCGTTTGGAAAATACCCAGTATTTTAGTAAAATGGCTTGTTGTTTCCTTAAATTATAGAAAATGTCTTTTTTTTTTTGAGAGAGAGATTTTCATTATAGGGCGCATGCGCTCGCCAGACAGACAGAGAGAGACATAGAGATAGAAAGCTAGAAATCACCCCTCAGGGGAGATGGCCATGCTGCAATCCCTTCTCCTCCATTCTCCTCTTGGGATCTTGGGCACGCACACACAAGGCTGGCTTGAGTTTTAAGCCACTGGGTCCGGGACACGAACTGCGGTCGACTACGTGGGAGTCCAGCGACATAGCCATTACGCTAACTGCTGGTTCCCGAGAATGTCTTTATATGGGACTGTCACTACCACTATTAACATTTGTTTAGGAGTTTATTTCAGCAAGGACCTTCAAATTCATGACCTTCTCTGACCTTCACCTTGGAGGGAAGACTGAAGGAGTATCTTTTTTCCCTGGGTCCAGACTCTCAGGGCACAAATTATGGATAAATGTGAATTATCTTTTAAAATCTGTTTTAATTTGCCTGAGGGCATGTGCACTCACTGAAGAGAGACAGAGAAGAAAAGTGGGAAAGCACCCCACTGAGAGATGGTCATGCTCCATCCCTTCTGCATTTCTTCTTTCTGGATTTTAAAGCACACACATTCACCCCCAGTGTTCCTCAAGCCACTGGGTCCAGGACTCGAACCACGCAGTCAGCCACATGAGATCCAGGTGTCTTAGCCATCATGCCACCGGCTGGTCTGTGAATTAATTTTGAAAGTTACATACAATTTTTATTAAATGTGATCTTTTCTCATAATAAAGTCTATCCCTGAAGTAAGGAGACAGCAATTTATGAAAATCCTGAAACACTTCACAATATAACTTTAGCTGTATTCAAGAGCCCCTCAATCACCAGTTAATATAGCAGAAGTAGTTTGTTGAAAACCAAGGTTACTTAAGTGAACCAGTAAGACCAGTTTGTGACCTTACCACAGCCTTAAGATTCTTCTATGCTTTACTTTGGATTCCGCCCACCCCGTAGAATTTTCAACCTGGAACAGCTGAAGAGATCTTTAGGTCCCTGGTTCATGGTAAGCTGGGTTCATGCTAAGTTGATAAGTTGTTATGAGTTCAGAGTGAAGTAATACTGAGCACCCAGCAAGGTGTTCTTTATGTCTGTAATGATCAAAAAAACCTTATTTTAAATGAGTAAAAATAATGGTCTTTTGCTTCTAGTTGATAACTCTCAATTATCCACTCTGAATGGTGGAATGAATTCTCAATTTACCAAGCCGAATAATAAAGTCACACGGTGATGGCTTGTCTTAATCCTTTTGTATTGCTATAGCAGGTCACCACAGACTGGGTAATTTATAAACAATAGAAGTTATTTGGCTCACAGTTCTAGAGACTGGGGAGTCCAAGATTAAGATGCTGCTTTGGGGACCAACAGATAGAGTAGCAGTTATGTCACTGGACTCCCACATGACTGACATGGGTTCAAGTCCCAGACCCAGTGGCTTAAAAATCACACTGGGTGTGTGTGCTTGTATGCCCTAGATCCTAGGAGGAGAATGGAGGAGGATGGATTGTGGTGTGGCCATCCCCCCCGGGGGTTGATTTCTCACTTTCCCTCTGACTGTGTCTGTCTCTCTCTCTCCAACAGTGCCCGCTCCCTAATGCAAAAACCTCTCAAAAAAAAAAAAAAAAAAAAAAAAGAAAGAAAGAAAAAGAGCTGCTTCTGGTGAGGCCTTCTTGCTGTGTCTTCCTATGCAGAAAGGGCTGAGCAAGTGAGAGAGATCAAGAGGTTGAACTTGTAGCCTCAAACTTCAGCATTAACTGGCATTAATCCAGTTATAAGGGCACAGCCCTCCTGACCTAATCACCTCTTAAAGTTCCTACCTGTCAACATGGTTGTATTGGGGATTAAGTTCCCAACACATGAACTTTGGGGGACACATTCAAAACATAGCTCAACCTGACTCAAGGAGCTGGAAAGCTGTACCCATTTTTTCCCTGCCTCTTCTCAGTGTTGAGTGTGTCCTCAGATAGGCGCCAGTGTTGAATCTAGCCCTTGTTCTGGATACTCCTTTCCATTTTTTCTTTCTCGTTACAGCTCTTTTTCTTTCTATTTTTCCCTTGCTCTTTGCAAACATTCTTTTCTGGATTTGGAAGAATATCATAGGGTGGGCGCCACCACGCCCGGGTTTGGAAGAATATCTGATTTGGGTTCTTTCTTAGTCCTCTGTCGCATTGCTAGAAGACACACTTAAGACGGAATGATTTATAAAGAAGTAGAGGTTTATTTGCCTCATAGTTCTGGTGATGGAAAAGTCTCAAGGCTGGCATTAGGCCAACCTATGTCACAGCACAGCTGACAGGAGCAGAGAGGATGGCAGGCGTGTGCAGAGATAGGAACCTGGGGTCTGCCATCTGTTTTATAACAACCCATTCTCAGGAGAAATAACTCTTTTCAAGAGAGTTAGAACTCAGTCTGTCATGAGATAGCATTAATCCACTCATGAGACGGATGCCCCCCAAATCTAATCACAGTCCACTAGACCTCACCACCTACCGATGCTATTGCACTGGGGGCCACATTCTAAATCATGAGCCTTTGGGAGACAAGCCACTATCTAAACCATAACAGGTTTTAAAGAGTTCTTCTGCTCAGCTGTGGATTTCCTAGAAAGCTGGGTTACATGAAAAC